TTAATAAAAGAAAATAAAGAATAATAAAGTATTAATATTTAAATTAAAAAATTATTATACATGTTAATACTTGGAATATAAATTACAACTTTCAATATAACTTATTAATAATATATTTTTTTAAATATTTAAAAAATTAGAAAAATTAATAATAATTTTCATTTAATATCATTTCAATTTAAATCAATTAAAACTAATGAGAAATAAAAATATATAATACTAAAAGCTTTGCTAAAAAAAAAACTTATATGAATATATATTTAACTTACCCACACAGGTATTTAATTATTGAAAAATAAAAAAAAAATTATATAAGACATATATTAAAAAAATTGTAAATATAATGGATAAGATAATAAAATATATTTTTTACCTTATCTTTAATATGAAAAATATTAATATTATATTTATTACTAATATTGATTCACTTTATCATTATTAATTACATTTAAAAATAATAATTGTTACAGTTTCATAATAACATTCATCTATCTCACTGAATTTTTATTCGCAAATATATGACAAAATTAGAATATAACACACAGGAAAATTAAAGTATTAGAAAAAATTAAATAGTACATAACATAATAAAAGAGTACTAACAGTAATAATATCAGAAAAAGTAAATTTTTTTTTAATACTCTACAATATTATCTGCTTTACATAATCATAATGGACACCTTTCAGCTGTGCTTGAATTATTTTATTTTATTCCATATTTAGTTTTTCATATACTAATTTATTAAAATAATTATTTCAATTTTTATCTATTGTAATAAATTAAACTCACCACACAACTTGTAACAATATAATAAAAAATGTTTTAAACGGAATGGAAAAGGTTGTAGAACTGGAAGTTCCTGCAAGTAGGTAATATCTACACAAGTACACAATATGTGTACGTGTAACCTACCGAGCGATCGATAGGCCCCCTATAAATGAGAATTTATTCTACGATTTAGAGAATTTACCATACGTAATTTTATTTATATATTTAGTTTTATAATTGAATAAGGAAATAAGATAATAATCTTTTTAGTATATTTTTATATTATTTTAACTTAAATAGAAATAAAATTTATGTAAGATGATTACATAAGATAATTATTATACAAAACATTTAAGCTTAAATCTGTTTTAAACCATTTAAATTTAAATGTAATTAAAATGACAAATTTAATCTTAAAAATATATAATCTTATTTGATATTATATTGCAATGCATCTCTTAAAATATAATCATCTTAAAAATTTGATTTTATTTTTCTGCTTTGTTATTAAGTTAACTTTTATATAAATTTTATTAAGCACTTTTTGTATTAAAATATTAATAAAATAATACAGAGCGATTCAACATCGCAGTAAAAATCTTGTATCCTCACAAGATAATTTGAAGATCATATGTTGCCACTGGATTGGTATGTGTATATGCATAAACTGTGAAGTGTAATGTTGCTAAATAGACGGTACTATCTTTAAGTTCACTAAGCGAGCTAATCACTCTGTATAAAATGTAATTATACCATTTATTATACTTTATATTTAAAATGTGAAATTACATAGATAATTATAATAAATAACTTAACAATTCAGTTATTTATTTAAAACTTTATTTTATTCTTGTTATACAATGAATTATATTGTACTTAACATTGAAACTTATAATTTTTATTCTTTTTTAATATTAATCCTTTATTAAAATTATTTATAAGAGAACAATATAAAGTGTTCTAAAACACATAATTTGTATAGATTAATATAATTCACATAAACACATGTATATGTACATATTTACATAACAGTAATATTTTTAGTTTTAATTTTTGTTAACAATATATGTATAATAATAATATCATCAATAATATTCACAGGTATGCTTGAAAATTCAGTGAAGTTTATAATTAAATTAATCAACTTTTCTACTTCCCCGGGTTTTCCAAGCTACTAAAAGATTCCAGGAAAAGAACAGAGAAAAAGAATGAACTTGAGATGCTAAGAGGATAAATGCATACCACAATAACCCATATGGTAGATCCTAAAAAGTTAATATTTATTAATTTTATATTATTAAATTTTATATTAAGATGTATAATACAATCTATATTTGTTTTTAAATATAAATATTTCTAATTTAATAAATTCATACCTGCCAAAAATGAATTTCATCTGTTTTACCCACAGTTAAATATTTCCAGACATCCTTAAAATAATATATGACTGCATAAAATAATGGACCATATCCTAATAGAATGATACCTATCATATATTGTTGTAATGTTTTAATTCTGTTTCTTTTAATAGCAGATAATGCAAGGAAACTTAATATCAAACTCGTACACCAAATATATTCCCACCACAGAGGCTACAGGAGAAAAAGTTATTAACTTAATATTTTTATGTTTTATATTAAACATGATATACCTGAGGTATTTGCAACTCTTCAATCTCCAAAATGAATATGTCCAAATGATCTAAAATATCAGCTGATAACTTGGCAAGCATAACGAAGAAAAGAAGATAATGAAAAAGTATACAATATTTCAGTCTTGATTTGTTTGTTGCGCTAAAAGGAATATACATTTAATTCTAATAATAAATAAACAATAATCAAGGAATGATTTATTTTTAATTGTTATTTTATACAGTGAATATGAGTATTAACTTTCGAAATATTATTGTAATATCAAACAACTAAAAAATATCGGGTATATTGCTTTTATGACGTTTTAATTACCTGATTTGATAGTGAGTAGGTATTTTTTGTCTATGATTAAAATCACTTCCATCTGTACCCAGAGCTTGGGACAGTGTAACTTTTGAAGCCATATTTCGAAATTATTGTGACTAAGATATAAGAATCACGTTCCTATTTTAATAACAGAAATTTATGTATAAATAATTTTTAGGTTGCAATTTAAGATAAAATATTCGGTACTTCATTACCAATTATTTAACTATTTTTAAACTTTTACAAGCTCTGTTAGTGGCCTCATGGGTCACGGATCTCTGCAAATGTGTCACTTTTATTAAGTCACGTTTTCATTTTATAGAAATTGTAAATTATTGCGGTTGAATTTTTTTTAGATCTTAGATATTTTTAATTATTATAATTTATTATTTTTCATTTTATAAAGGTATATGCATCAATAAATTAAAAAATTGTAGAATTATTTAATATATAAAGAATTATACAAAAATAAAGGTTAGCACCATAAATATTATTTCCTCATTTATTAACCCCTTGTTTTATAACATCAAGTCACACTCGTATTAAGGATTATTGTAATTTCAATTCAATAAATGCAAACAAAGGTGAGTTTGAACTTTAATTTAAATTTCTATTCATTATACTAAAGAGTATTAAATAGAAACAAATAATATTTCAATATTATAGGATAGAGTAAATAGTTCAGCAAATAGCTCAGGTAGTTTTTAAAAACATCTTAAGGCAAAGGATTAAAGTATATAATTAGGGTATGATAATTATGTCCTTTAAAACTTTATAAAACAAATAATGCTGTTTAATTTTTAAATAATATATAATATATGTCTGTTTACATATTCTTTATTTTGATAAATTCATAAATTATCTATAACATACATTTTTTTTAACATATATATTAAAAAATAATATAATTGTAGTACTTAAATTCTAATATATTATATAATATCTAAATTTTGAATATTAAATTCTACTTAAAATTATTTTAATTTCTCCTAGTTATAGGATATTAAAAGAATATGATAATAATAATATCACAAACCAAAAGAAGATGTATAAACTTTTATATATATTCTAGCTAGTGGCTAATGAGGAACTAATAATGATTTGTAAAAGTATAATTTATTTTCAGATTTAATTATAAATACCTAAACACATATTCAAGTTTACAAATAGATGTAATATAATAATATAGTAACACAATAATATAATAGTATCATAGTATAAAGTAAAGGAAGTGCAACTTTACAATATTATTTAAAAATAAATTCACTTGTTTTCAATAAAATGAGTTTTAATAAAGTGAAAGAATTTATTGAAGAAGGAGATGTGGTAATTTTATATTTGGGACCTAGTAATATGCATTCCTTAGAAATAAAGCCAAAAATTCTGAATAAAAAAGGTAAAATGGTTGATAATATTTTTCAAACAATATATGGAGCACTTAAAGTATTTTGTCTTGTGGGGCAAAAATATGGAAGTAAAATACAACTTTCCCGAGGATGGGGATATGTGTTACAACCAACACCAGAATTTTGGACATTAACAGTTCGACATAGAACACAAATTATCTATAGTCCTGATATAAGTCTAATTATATATTTGATGGATTTAACACCAGAAAGCATAGTTATTGAAACAGGTTTATCAGTTATTTTGACTATTTTCAAAATATTTATGTTTTAAGAAAATGAATTAATTTTTTTTTAACTTTAACTATGATATATTTTTATAGTATATTCCACTTATTTTATTGTCAATATGTTATATATATTTCATTTCAAATTTTTATTGGTTTAGGCACTGGAAGTGGATCTCTTTCACATGCTCTTATTCGTGCAATTCGACCTTATGGTCACCTTTATACATTTGATTTTCATAAGCAACGTGTAAATATTGCTCAAGCAGAATTTGAAAAACATGGTCTTGGTAAATTTGTAACTTCAAATCATAAAGATGTTTGTATAGATGGCTTTGGAAAAGAGTTAGAAAACAAAATAGATGCAATATTTTTAGACCTTCCACATCCATGGTTAGCAATAGACCATGCGTTGTTTGTTTTGAAAAAATCAGGTACAAATTAACTATATTTAATTTAATGTATTTTTTTTTTATTTTATATTGTATTTATACATTTTTCTTTCACATGGGAATATATAAAATATATTGCTCTTTTAAATTAAAAACATGTATTATTTTAGTAACTTTTTAGTTTAAATTTATGTAGTCAACTTAATAATAGGTAATACTAATAAACTACTGAATATCAGGTTCATTATATATAAAATGTAGTGATTTTTTAAAATTATTTTATTTTCAGGTGGAAAACTATGTTCTTTTTCTCCTTGCATTGAGCAAGTTCAACGTACTTATGCAAAATTAATTTCGAAAGGTTTCATTGAGTTGAATACCTATGAATGTTTGCAAAGAGAAGTAAATGTACAATATAGAAGACTTCCCGTATTGGATTTAGAATGCTTAAAATATGAGGTACATATAATAGACACGATATATTAAATTAATATATATATATATGGTAGACTATAAAAGATAGTCTTTTTTTATCAAGTATTGTTATTCATTTAATTTCTATAAAAAATATTATAAATAGAGTAATAAGTCAAATTAATTAGTATATAATTAGTTTCAGTTTTACATTTAAGATAGCATTAAAGTTTGTAAAAGCTAATAACTTCTTTTAATTGTATTCTAGCAAGTGAACAAAGATATGGGACAACAAAATGAAAATGAAAAACAAGAACAAACAAAATTACTTACTGTAGCACATGCTCATTCTTTACCTGGCCATACAGGATTTATTACAATTGCCACATTACCTCCATTTTATGCGCGAAAGTTAGGAATAAACTTAGAGTCCAAAGACTGAGAAAATTTGTAATTATGATAAAATATGAAATTGTTGTGTACTATATAATTTTAATTTATATAATATAATTTCAATTTTATTCAACATAAAATTTGCAATAATGAAGTAAAATGTGAAGTCAATAAATGATGATCAGATCTTAAGTTCTTGAATACATAACAATCTTATTAAAAGTACTAAATATTTTATGTCTCTACTTTGCCAGGATTCCAAGATAAATAATCAACTCGTGTGGCTGCCTGATATTCTTTTACCAAGTATTCAACAACTTCTCTAGAATTATCTAATTCGTCCAAATTGTCTTCAAACATTTTTTCTTTGCGAAACTGTTCTAAAAATGCTTCCCGTTTTCGTAATTTATCATATTGTTGTAAGGCACGATCAAATAACTGAAATATGTTTGTATAGATGTGTTACGCATTTAGTAATAATTTTATAACTGTATAATTAATTATTAGAGAATTTTGAAAACAAAATTTAAGTAAAAGCAAAGTGTTCATTAATATAAAAATATTTTTGCAACTTACCGATGATATGTTAGTGTGATTAGCTAGCATTAAGCCAGATACTCGATGTGTACTTTGAATGTATGGTGATTTTCTTGAAAGAGCTACTTGTATACTAGCAGGTCCCCAAGGTATAAATTGTGCAAGTTTTCTTTCTCTAATTCTTTGTAAAGATTTATGAACTTGAGTTGGATCTACTTCACCCTAAATCATTGTATTTATAAGATTGTAATATTATTGTTATCTTTAATATTTTCTATTACATAGAACTTACTTGAATAATATTCAAAATGGATATATAGCAATGAGATGCATTTCTGTCTAATGCTGTAGAAACCATCATGTTTTTCGGTTGTAATAAACGTCTCATTACATCTAATACAGAAGTTTTTCTCACAGAAGCACCCTATCAATTATAAAAAATAAATTAATTTAAATAAGAAAACTTATTATTAAGTTATTATATAACTTATCTACATTTTATCAAACCTAAATTTATTAAAAAATAGTACTTATTTTAAAATAAACAAATAAAATTGTTCTGCATTTCTTAAAATAACTACTTACTTCTTGATCTGTAGTAAGAGGAGTATAACCAGTCATAAGAAAATGTAATCGTGGTGTTGGAATTAATGGAGCAATTAAACCAACTAAATCATTATTCATATAAGAAGGATACCTAGTGAATGTGAATTAAAATTAACTTAATAAATCTTTATAAAATCTTATACTGACTTCCCAAACAAAACAAATATAAATAACATATTACCGAAGTGTGGTAGTGCTAACAGACATTATTGTAGAAACAAGTTTATTAATTTGTGTAAAACTAGGATTTTGAATGTGAAGTCGATCCGATGCTATTCTGTTAAGTGCTGTGTTGTCTAAAACAACAACACAATCAGCACATTGTGTCAATCTTTTTAAAGTTAATAAAGAATTATATGGTTGTACTACTACATCACTGAAAAGAATTTTTTTATTACCGTCTATCATTATTGAAAATGTAATATTTTAATTATTATAATGTACTTCTACTGCATGATGTATACCTTATTTCATCTTGATTTGGAAAAACACTATATGTTTCAATCAACTTCTTTGGAAATCTATCTGCAAGGGATTCAAGCATAAATGATCCCATACCTGAACCTGTACCACCTGCAATGGAATGACACAAAACAAATCCCTGTGAATGAGAAATGAATTAGAAATAATTAAAGTATTCATAATATCAATTCAACTAAGGCAATTATGTATACTTCTAAACTATCGCTTCCATCTGCTTCTCTATCCAAAATATCAAAAATTTCTTCTTGAAGTTTCTCTCCTTGGTGATAACCAGATGCCCAATTATTTCCAGCACCACCTCCATGTTTTGATAAATATATATTTTCTGGATTATACAACTTGTGAAAAATAATGTTTATAATAAATATGTATATTAACAAACATTTATAAAATTTATGTATGCTCATAGAATTCGTACATATTTATAAAATCAAGTGATTAAATAAACTTATGATGTTTATGAAAATATACTAATAAATACCTTTGAATATGGCGAATTCATAATTGTATGAATTACTCTAGGTTCTAGATCTAATAATACTGCTCTTGGTATATAATGTTCATCATCTGACTGATAAAAAAATACATCTTTTCTATCTGTTCCTTCTGTTGCATAATCTTTTAAAATACCTTCTGGACTAATACCATGTTCTGCACACAATTTTTTCCAAAACTCAAATCCAACTACAAATAAAATCTCTTTTATTTTTGTTTTTCTATCTGCTATATTATTGCAATGTATTTCTATAAGATATAGATTCTATATTTTAATATCTAATTTATTTTTTCTTTAATTTTAATATCTAATATGATAGTTAAAAACATACAGAGATCATTTAGTAAGATTTTAATGAAATAATAAGTATTACATGTAATTAAAAGTATGTTATTTGGTTATAGTTACAAGTTAACAAGAATAGAATAAAATATTTTTATAATTTTATAAATTATAAAATTACTTACTTTGATTTCCACATTGGCCAAGTTGCAAAGTTATCATTTCACAAGGCATCTTAAATTTGTTGTTTAATTCTTATTAAGAAAGAGATTATAATTATTTGACTTCAATTTTACGCGCGATGAACCTTCAATTTGATTGATATTTCACATATTACAAATATATTTTTTATAAATATTTTGATAATACATTAGACAGTATTAATTTAATATTTACAAAATACATATGAATACATGATAGGATTATATATACAAAGAATAATAATGTGTACGAATGTATTACTATTATATTCAGTTGTAGATGGTGCTACGTTATCCATCAATGTTCCTGGCTATTTGAAATTTCATTCTGTTTAAAAATGTGAGCAAATTTTTATAAATATAAAATTTAATTAACTGATTAAATCATAGTAAAACAGTAGAGAGGAAGAGATTTTAAAACTATTTTAAATACCAATAATTTTACATTTAAAAAAGATAATGATTTTTATATTTAAGGAGGTAATATACAACAAGTAGATCGTATTTTAAATTAATTAAAACTAATTTTCTATTTTTATTCAAGTTATTAAGATAATTATAAATTACACAATATATCATATTAAAAACACAGTTACATGAAAATTGATATAATTTCGAAAGCTACGTTTACATGACGTAATGAAAGAACTATATAGTTATTTAAAGTTAAATATATGATCTCATTTTTTGTACTTACCTAACACTTGTAACACATAAGCAGTAATGTTTCCATTCAGTCTAACCTATTAAATTTGTTTTATCCAATAAAAATTAAATTGATACTGATTTTACGTGTTTTTACATAAAACAAGGTATAATAAAATATTATTCTGTTATCGTGTCATCAGTATGTAATAAATTCATTAAATTTATTATTTGTAGTATATAATAGTTGTAATAATTAAAAATTAAGCATAAAATATTCCAGTAGTCTAAAGATAATTTAGAAGTATAATGTACAAATTATATTTTCTTTTTTGTTTATTATTATTTAATATAATGGAAACAATTTATTATAACTAAATTGTTTTTATAAATACTTTGAATACTTTAAATTAAAAATATGGAACATTTAAAAATTTACATTTTTAATTACTTTGATGTGCACATATTCTAAATTAAACATAAATTATCTTGTTTATGTGGAAATATCTTATTGATATTTAATAGATGTCTGGAAATAAATGTCGGAATTGTGGATCCACGGATATCGAAACAGATCCAGCCAGAGGAGATGCAGTTTGTACAGAATGTGGTGTTGTGTTAGAAGATCAATTAATTGTTAGTGAAACAGCTTTTAAAGAAACACCATCAGGGAATATGATGGTACTCGGTCAATTTGTTGCTAATGATAGCACTGGTGGAGCTACAGGATTTGGAGCAAGTATGTGATATGATAACAAATGCAAGATCAAATATCAGTTATTTTGTATCCATTTTTCGTATTGTTCACTTCTAATAAATATATATTTGTTTTCTTTTTATAAAATGAATATTCAATAAATTAAATTTAATGGTTTTTATTTATAGCATATCATGTCAATGGGAAAGAATCAAGAGGAATAACATTGCAAAATGCAAGAAAAGGAATAACTCATTTGTGTATGCAGTTACAGTATGTAAATTTTTTTTATCACATGGTCAGTATGACATTAATTGTTTATATTATATTTCATAAAATATTTAATCTGTATCTTATTTTATTACTAGACTAAATCAACACTGTATTGATACATCTATGAATTTTTATAAAATGGCATTAAATCGTCAATTAACTCGTGGAAGGAAGCAAGCACATAATCATGCAGCTTGTGTTTATATTACTTGTCGTACAGAAGGCACTGCACGTATCCTTTATATATACTCAAATAAAGAATATCTTTATTATAATTATTTTTATTCATTTATATACATTTTATAAATACAAAGTATTTGGTTTAGTGAAATCTTATTAACATGTAAGTTCTATTTTTTATATATAACATTATTTTAAAAATGAAATATATATACTTAACTAATTACTTAGATATGCTTATTGACATCAGTGATGTTCTTCAGATTTGTGTTCATGAATTGGGCCGTACATATCTAAGATTTACACAAGCTCTTTGCATCAATATACCTTCAGTAGGTGAGCATTTTGTAAATTCGCATGATATAAACTATTCTATTTTTACTTTATGCTTTTATTTAATTTATTTTCCCCTAGTTAAGAACAAATTAGCTAATAAACTAATTTTTAAATATTGTACGTACATAATTATATAATTGTATAAAATATATTACAATAATGCTCAGTTAAATTTAGCTAAAATTTGCTTGGTTAAATTCACATAAATCATTCCCACTCTCCTCCTACCACTCATAATCAGTGTTTCAAGTTCAACAAAACCTTATATGATTGACAAGGAGAGAGAAACAGTAAAACGAAAAGAAAAGACAAATGCGATACAAAAAATGCCGGTATTGATAAAAAGTAAACATGCAGTAAAGAAAATTTCATTGATTTTTTCATAACTAATTTTCATCTTACTTTTCTAAAAATAATACCAATGCATTGCTAGAATCCAAATTAAAATGAGTTCAAACACCACATAAATTGCACTATTTTATTATATTATTATGTATCATTTTACTGTTTACATCAAATTAATTATTATAGTTAAAATTGGCCTGATTTATCGTGTTAGATTATCGTGTTTAGATCTACTTTAACCGGAAAAATCCATTGATACTACCTTTAGGAAGATAACAAAAATTAGGAAAAATAAAATTTTTTATATTACATAATTATTTTTTCTAGTAGCGATATTCTGTTGAAATGCCAGGTCCCGATTGTCGCTGCTCGATGTACCAATTTTATCTTGCTTCCTCTTATTATATCTCTTTTACGTCTTTATCTAGCAATACTCGAATAAATTTCTGAAAAAAAAGTCATTCTGCTCGATTAAATTCAACCGCTGTTTTCGAATTTTCAAAATTTAACCTAGCATTATTGCATATGAAAACTTAAAAATTTTTAATTTTTGATTATTTATAATTTTATTTATTGAGTATAAGAATAAAAATATTCGACTTAAGAATAATTAGATTCAGTTGTTTTATTTTTATTATAAACAACTACTGTTGTATTTGTTCATTTTTGGTAAAATTAAATAAACATTGATGTTTTGGATACATTATTATCATGTTAAATATTGATGAGAATGAAAAAGGTAATAAATAACAACAAAAATTTGTTCATTTAAAATATTTTTAAACATTAAATATAATAATAATAATACAAGATATTAACACAAAAGTTAACTTTCTTATATTACGAATAATTAAGACATTTTAAATACTTTATAATATGTAAAACATTATTAATATATAAAATAATGTAAGATCACTATGCCTATATGAGATTTTTATATTTATTTGAGTTTATTGCTTATGCGAAAATTTCAAATTACATTCTTTATATTTAATACAATGATTTTAATAGTCTTGAAATATGTTCTAAGGAATGTTATTACTAACAACTTTTTTCTCCGAAAAAATTGGCGGTCACTCATAGTTTGTGGGATATTAGCGAAAAAAGTTGTTACTAATTATTGAATTTTGCTTGTACGTGTGCACCTGTAATGGGTGTAACACCACGCCAGTTTGGTTAATGCATAAAAAAAATCTGTACTGAATCTCAATTTGTTAACAAAATTAAGTACTTAATAATTATATATATATATGGAATTGATCACTTTTTTCACGCTTTAAGGCATGAAGTTGATAGAAAAAGCAGCCCAACCCTGTTTTAATTGATCATTTCTTCAAATTTTTCAACAGCTAATGATTTATATGCCATTGCTTCGATGAATAGTTAGTATAAACAATCTACCGAGAGATAGATAGATATTTATGATTCGTTTAATTTGATCCGTCACGAATATTTGCTCGTCTCATGTGATGTACATGTGCAGGTAAAATTCAATGATTAGTGACAACTTCTTTTGCTAATATTCCGGAAACTAAGGGTGACTGACATTTTTTGCAAAGGAAAAAATTGTTTAAAATTACACATACGTAAAAATCACCAAAATCGGTGAAGGATGTAGTAGTTCAATAATTTTACCTAAACAATATTAAAAATTTAAAATGCAAAATTCGAAATTATGTTTTTTATTTATTAATTATGTAATTTAAATTTAAATTAAACATGAACATTTTAGGATTTTTTTTTAAATGATAACATAATTGATAGTTTTTTTTAAATGTCATTCCTAAACTAATTATAAGAATGCTTTCAAATTATATATATATTTTTCTTTTGGCACTAGACAGGTATACTAATAGCAGACAGGTATTATTTTGTACATTTTCTTATTGCTGGTATTGTAATCCATGTACTTTTTTTTTTTTAATAGTTACTATTTTGAAATGTAAATTTTGATGGTAGACAGTATTACTAGCAATAGTTTACGCAAATTAAAAATTTTTTTAAATGTTCGATATATTAAACAGAATTTAATAGTCATAAATAGTGATAGTGAATAATAATTAAACTAATAAGGTGAATGCAAGTCCTTGGGGTTGCCGATTTAGTTGAAAGATTGAAGGTTTTGCAGATTTCATCACGCAATTTAAGAATATATATCATTATAACCGCAACTACTCAATAGTTTCTAAAATATTTATGATAAAAGTTTTATTATATCTTTAACTATAGAATTATTTCCAATAATTTTTAAGTAGAGTTGTGGCCTACCGGCGACTTGTGAAACTCCAATGGAATCATTAGATGTAGGAAATACAAAATCTATCGCCCATATAAGAATTAATTATTAAATTAAACATTGTATAAGAACGTTGCCTATAATTTCAACTTTGCTGTGCATCTATAAATGTTCATGAATTAATAACAAAAACTTGGAAATTTATTAATTTTCTACTGCCGAATTGATTTATTAAGATTTAAAATTTTTTTAAGATTAAAAATTTTTACCGTCTGCGATTAGCGCCATCTATGACTTAGGCTCAAAAATCAAGAAAGTAATAGGAATGCAGAATAGGCAAGGAGGTCGTCGAAGAGCTGATCACGTGACAGACAAGGACAGTGGGGGGGATAGAAAAGGATAGAAGGGCTCCGACAGAGAAAAATTAATAAATTACTCAATTTCCGTAATTAATTTATGAGCTTTTATAATTTCATTGCAAAGCTGGAACTTCAGGCTACATTCTTATATAATTTTCGTAAAGAATTTAACTCTAATTGTTAGTTATTAATTTTTGTTTGATGGCGTCTATGATTTCGTAACTGCGATCATCACGATCTTTCATGAAAATATTTAATACTAAACGAAACTAGAAGCAAAATGTGATCAAAAGTTATATGAGAAGATTCGCAGAAACACTGTTTTTCTAATGAGTGCATAAAGTTTCATAAATTAATTGCGTAAAGAATAGTAATTAATGAAAAACCAATGGCGTCTTTGTACTGGAACTAACGGAGCACAAGCTTCCAGATAAAAATTAGAGGTGGCGCTGACTGTTCCATTTTAAATTTTTATTAGAAAATTAATTAATTAATTAATTCCTACGATTAATTTATGAACTTTTATAATTGTATCGTAAAGGTAGATGCTTTAAGAACTTTCCAATATATTTTTCGATATAAATTTGTCCCTAATTAATTAATTATTAATTATTATTCTACGCAGTGTTTGAATTGTTGTCAAAGACGCCATTGGTTTAAAAAACACTTTAATATATATATATTAACATAAGAAAACGTAAAAAATAAATTTTTTTATTACGAAATTTTATTTACAATGTTTTCATAGACGAAAAATAAATACAAAATAAAAAATAGATTGAAAAAACTACGTGACTATAAACAACAGGAATCGAACCCCGGACCTCTAACCATTGGAGTTTCACAAGTCGCCGGTAGGCCACAACTCTACTTAAAAATTATTGGAAATAAATCTATAGTTAAAGATATAATGAAACTTTTATCATAAATATTTTAGAAACTATTGAGTAGTTGCGGTTATAATGATATATATTCTTGAATTGCGTGATGAAATCTGCCAAACCTTCAATTTTTCAACTAAATCGGCGACCCCAAGGACTTGCATTCTCCTTGTAAGTTGTAACTAAGAATTAATCAACAATTTTTTTCATTTCATTATTTAATATTTAATGTCTTGAATTACAAACTATAAATAATACTGAATATCGACAACGTCAATGATGCTATTGCTATATTAACCAGGACTATTGATAGATACTATAATTTATGACTATATATTGCTCGAACTAACTATATACATTACTTTAAATTATACTAAATTCTTTTTCTATTTTTTTACATGCATCATAATAAACTAAAAAATTATATAAATATGACTTAAGTATCATAGAATATTTATTATGGTTTTTATATTGTATACAAAATTGCTATCTTGTTTTAAGGATCTACATCGTTTCTTTCAACAATTTAGTAAAAATCTGTTACATATAGTAGAGAATTAACAAAGTTAAGTACAACAATAAAATATATCTCTTTTTTTATTGATACAATATAAAAAATAAAATACTAATATTATAATAAAAAATTAATATAGTTTGCATAGGCAGTTTCAATTATAAAGGTTATTATAAAATTTTCATGATGCTTTTCGATAAGTGTTGTATGTTTTAAAATACATAATATATATTATTAAAAACAATATATTCTTCTTCACTAGGTGGTAATATGCTTTGTTCATTTAAAATTTTAAATTACTATTATTGAAAATAAAATTATAGTTTATTAGTAGTTCATAATTAAGAATCAATTAATTGTGATTATAGTTTCCAAAATTAATTAAACTTTGTTTATTCTTTTATTTTATGATATAAAGAATCCTGCAAGTTGGCATGAAAGATATTAATAAAGTACGTATGTGAAGAAAAGAAAATAGATGTTTTATATGCAAATAAAAAAAAATAATTAATAAAGATAGTATAAATTCTTAAAACAAAAATAAAAATCTAAAGTAAAAGAAGTAACATAATGAGAAAGTATAATAAAAATAAATAACACTAAAAGAATAAAGCTAACTTTAAAATATTAATATTACATTATAGAATGATAACAATTGAAGTAAAGACATGTAGGAGAAAACCGATAAAATCCTAAACAGTATACAAAATAGTGACAAAAAACAGTAAGAAAGATTTTTAACCTAAAGAATAATATAAGTGTAAGTACTTAAGATATGGAAATGTATTAAAATATGATATAGCTATTGTACAAAGTAGTACAAAAAATGATGTGTATGAATGGAAAAATTAGAAATATAAAAAAAAAAACTGACAGAGGTAAGAGAACAGAATAGTGAACTAATTGAGGCTATGAAAGAGATTTTAATACTAAGAGAAACAATGGATAAAAAGGACAGAAAATAGACTAATAAAAGATTAAATCTAGAAAAGAAGAATCATATTACCATCAAAGCTTGAACATCAATAACAAAGTTGAAAATATAAAAAATTTCTTACAGAAAAGATAAAAATGACAAATAAATAACAAGTAAAGCAAGCAGAGATAAAATAAACATGAGAGTCTATATTACATGCAAAAAAAAAATTAATAAAAATAAAAATAATTCTTACTCATAAATAATCTTAAGAATTATGTTCATTGAAAGATATTAAGATCATTAAAATATTTGATAATGTAATTTAAAGAGTAGACATGTATACCGATAAAAATGGAAGTTTCAAAACCAAATTCATTTTCTTAAATGAAACTGCATACATATTTTTTCATAATACAATAGTATTTGTTGAAGCAAATTCAATAACCTACCATATTAGATCATTTAATTAAAACAAAATAATTATTATTCTTAAGAAATCACATAAATCTGCATTTATCTTATTTTTTAAAAATTAAAATGATAATAATGTATAATGTAGACATATAGGATGTAGAATGTATGTACAAAGATGTACACTAAGGTATATGTTGGAAACACACTTTGGAAATAAGTAAAACTCAAAACTGAAAATTATGAAGAGAGCATTGAAACACTAAATGGGACCAATAAGTATGGACAAATAAAGGTAGTGAAGACTCTATACAGAAAGTCACTAGATGGAAGAAGAAACTGAGTTACTCAATTAAGAAAAGAAATACAATAACATCAATAGAAAACTTTAAATCATACAAATCATCAGAATTTACGAAGGAGGTATATGAAGAAGATAGAAGAATTATATTAAACTTATATAATGTATAAAGAAATTAATGAAGGAATTGAATTTGAAATAGCCAATTATTGCAACTTAAACATTCTATTGGGAATTAGAAGATTCATCATCCAATTAAGGCTAATCAGTAAATTAGATTGAGTAACGATAATTGAAAAAGGTTTAAATAGGAAATGCTCAATGTACAAATCATAAAAATACAGTCTAGCTAAGGAAAGGAAATTTAAAAGAAATATTAATAAGAAGTGAAAGGGATCAATATGGGAAGTAGCTAATTTTATTAAAAGAAACATAAAAGTAAGAGCATGGGAAATTAGGCGATAGCTCAACCACTCTATAATATGATGAATTCTATTTTATGTCAAATGCTTAGCATATTGTACTTTAAGAATTTATGATTACAATTTAAGTACTATTAAAGATAACATGATATATAGATATAATATCAAATAGAAATAAAGGCACTATAATATATACATAAAATAAATATTAATACAACATATGAAATTAATAGAGACAAAAAATATAATATAATATGAACTATGGATAACTAATATAATGAAATCTATAGTTCAACCTATATATTATTACATACTAGAATAAGTCAAAACAAATGTGCAATGTTTTGTACCAAAGATTGTACTAGGCAATGGGCTTCATTATGATATTAATACTATTACTAATAATAATAAAATAATAATAATTATTATTATAGTAATAGTAATAATAAAAATAATAATCGTATTTAATAATAATTAAAAGCAGTAAATTCTTTTAAATAGCACTTATTTACTTTCTCAATTATTTTGTATCAATTTAAAGATTATTTTTACATGTTTTTTCTTTATGTTCTCTAACAAGTATTTTATATAATTTGCTCATTGCATATTTACAAATAATGTCTCAAATATTTAATTTATATAAAAAACAATTTGTTTTTAAAAGAAATAAAATAAAATAAAAACATTTGAGTACATTAAAGATAATAGATACACCCATTTAAAAAAAGGTATCAATTTAAAGTTCAATTTCAATTTAAATATAATAAAAGTTATTTCTTTAATTGCTAGTTAAAATATGTATAATAATATTTAATTATCAATGTTAATATAAAAAGAAATATTTTGTGCATCTATTTGAGTTTGAGTATTTTTATTTTATGAAAATAAATATTTAAAAACTGATTTATATTTACATTCAAATTAATATGCTATTATTAATATTATGAATTAATAATATTATTAATTAATTAATTGAATTCAATGTAATACAAAATATAATATAAACCTTTGGGTTGAAGTAAAAGAAACTGCTTTCTTTTTTATATTTAGTCAACAAAATAGTATTGTGTATTTTTCATTTTAAATATAAAAGATTAAATTGATAAGAAATAATAAAATAAAATTATAATTAAAAAAAAAGAAAGAAATAAGTAAAAGTAATAATATTATTTGTCTATGAATTATTCATTACGATTTTACATAAAATTTAAAATATGAATATCTGATATTCAAGAGTGCATCTATTATACAACATTTGTCATCAATTTAAAAATAGTACATAAAACAACAGTTATACAAAATTTTGAACAATGTCAAGGTACATATTTTTAGAAATTATTAATTAAACCATTATTTCTGTGATAAATTTCCATCAATCATCTACTGGAGGTCCATAAAAAATTAATTCAGGTATTTGTCCTCCTTGTACACCAGTACCATTTGTACTTTCTGAACTGCATTGAAATTGAAAGTTTACATTACCAACTGTTATCTCTGACATACCTTCTTGACCAAAATAACTTAATTCTCCTCCAACTAATATTACACTAGCTGTATAAAAACATTCTGGTTCGATTTGAATTGGGTTTTCAAAATATACATGAAATGTACTACTTGAACCATCCGAGAAAAATTTCGTACGATTTTCAGACAGAACGCATCCTAATCTTTTCAGTTCGATTCTAACATTGTAATCTGCAGCACCAGATGAACTTCCATAGAGTCCAAAACCAACAACAAAAATTCTTTTGTCAACGCTAAATTGTATTGAATCACATCTGCCTCTGTAACGCCATTGATTTGATCTATATGCACATGACTGAAACCTATGACACACCTGCAAATAAAATATTGGGAATTTTAATTCTGTTATTTTATACACGCGCGCGCGTGTATATATATCTTCTTTTTTTACTATATAAAAATTATTATGAAGAATTAATTATATTGAATCAAAATAAATGATTTTGTTTTATAATACTTACTTGCGTTTTTAAACCTTGTCGAGGTTTGATAGGAAAACAAAGTTGAGGTTTATTACTAGCAGTAAAATGCAAAAAGACATCAATTGTTTCTTGTTGTGTTAAGATTCCAGTCTGAGCAGCACTATTGGCAAATTCTTCCAAATTCATAGCAGGAAGTCTAATTAAATATAAAGCAGATCCTAAAATTGAAAAAGAGCACTAGTAATACTAATTTTCAATTTGAAGTTCTGATCCAGATATTTACCCAATAAACGTCTTTGATTTGCTGATGTTGGTTCAAGCTCTTGTCGAATACATTCTGCAGTAGCCCATCTTAATGCAGCATCCCATATATGTATTTCTTTGCAGTTTAATGTTTCTCGAGAAAGTACAGATTCAAGAGTATGAATATCAATATCCACAAAACCATCTGATCTTAGTGCCATTTCTGCCTATATTATGTTAAATTAATATTTAAGTAAGAACTTAATTATTTACATATTAATAATTTATTTCCTTAATTTTATATTTGTTATATATTAATCTTATATTAAATATGGTAAAATCTATTTTTTGCTAAATTCAGTATTTAAAAAATTTTAAACTCCTAAAAAAATATTAAGAATGTTTAAGAACATAATTAACATATGTAAAATATAAGAAAACGAAATATATTAAAAATAAATATTGATTAAAATATAATCTTATTAATATTAATATTCATCATACTTTTTATAAAAATATTTCTATCACATATTACAGGATATAGTATAAAAGTAGAAACAAATTCTTAAAAATGAGTTATAAGTTCTGTATTAAAATACTATTTTTATTGTGAGGAAACTAATTTTATAATTTTTAAAAAAGTATTTAATTTAATGATAATATAATTTATTACAATCCAATTTTTTATGAATACTAATATATGATAGTTGTATATGTATGTAAAAAATTAATTAAATGTAATACAGCATATATAATGTTACAAAAAGATTCATGTTCGATTATTTTATTTTTATATTTTATAAAATTGCTTACTAGTCTTTCTTAATTTTAACTTTAATAATTGATGAAAATTTAGAATAAAATTAAACTAATTTTAATCAAAAACGAATTTTTAAAATTAAAAGATATATTTGTACATTCTTTTATCAATCAGTCTTTTAAATGTTTGATTAATTTAATTAAAAAAGGGATAAGCAATTCTATCTTGAACCTTTTAATATACAGATAAATGGAATAAATGCTTTATTAATTTTTTAAGTAATTATAGGACTAATATTAGATGTTATTCCAGAAAAATCATTCCTACTATGTTCATATTCCTCTATAGAATTATCTTCATAAGTTACATTTTGTGTTAATTCAATTCCTAACTTATTATCTACAAAATAAGGTTCACTTCGAGTTCGAAATAGAGAAAACAATAATCTTTTGTTGTTAAATTTAGAACAACAATTGTTCTCAGATAAACTAAAGCAATGTGATACTACTGAGAATCTATTTTTTACATTTGCATAATTGATTTTTTTAGTTCGTTGAATAAACTGATGTTCATAATCAGGTAGTTTATTGTTCAAACAATTTGAAGAATTTGATTTACTTTTTAATATTACATTTAAATTATCATTAAAAGTAAGAGATTTGAGCATTTCTTTATTTAAACTTACTTGAGCATCTATAACTTCCCAACAACGTTGCATAAGGTCTGGTTCTTCAAACAAACGAGATTGACTTAAAAGTAAACATGCATTTTTTGCTGTTAAACTTGTTTCTAAATAATTAACACATGCTCTTGCTAAATGGGGAACTATATATTTTTTAGCAACATAAAGCGTTGCTAATACTGTATCAGCTTCTAATTGTACTTCATCACAATACATATACCTGAGAAAAAAAGCATAACAAAATAAGTAGTGAATAATTTAAGCTAATGTTTTCACAGAAATTAAAATATTTACCTTAACAGAGCAAGAAAAGCAGCAGGTTCTACATCTGGTACTTCTATATCTCTTTTATTTTCTGCTAGTCCACCATAAAACATAGCATAAAATACAGAGCTACTAGTAGCTAAAACATATTTGTGTGCTGGTATAGTTTGAGTATGACCTACATAAAATAATAATATATATTGTTATTTAACATATTTTATATATTAAATTACTTTTACTATTTTTTAAAATACTCGGATAAGTGTGCCAATGGCTTTATAATTAATTACCTGGACTGCCAACAATAAATATAATGTCAGCCATTAAATGATTGTTAAACATGGCAGCATTTCGTTCACGAACAGTAGGTTTTGTTGCTTGCCAATTAGGATCTTGTGTACAGTCTTCAGGTGATGACAAATTCAATTGTGCTAAAGGAGATGATAAGGAAGACAAAGGTGATGCAGGTGCACTAAGTGGTTGGTTTATTGTTCCTTCACGTTGTAACACAATGGAAGAAGATAATGGGCTTACAGTAGGTGGTGAATCTGATACAGGAATCGGTGATTCCGCTAAAACACATAATACAAAAATTTTTAACTTTAAATTCATTTTGATTAAGTATTGTCATTTTTATGATAAAATGACATAACTAGGTATAATAAGTTGTTTATATTAAATCGTCATTTTATTGTATTATAATAATTTAATATAAAACATTACAAAAAAACTAAATAAAAATTAGATGTTTCTTTAATATAATTGTTTTATTTGCAATATGCACTATTATTATATCAAAATTAAACTGAAAAATAAATAATTAAGGATCACTTATTTTACAAAAGTTAATGAAAACAAATATTAAGTCCATGTAATATGTCAAACTGACAATAACAAAGTTATAAAAACTAACATTATTTTAACATTAGTTCTTATTAAGTAATTAGTACTATAATTAAAATATCTTTTCATATAATTATGCTAATTGTAATAATTTGAAATACTGAATTTTGTTATTATCTGTTCTACAATTTCGTTAACAAAAATTATTTTTTTTCAATATTATTAGAGGTTATGCAAGATAATAAATAACATGTAATAAGGTTTACGTTTTCTATTATAAATTATTTTTGTTACAATGAAATTCTGTTTTCGTATATCCTTCATCTTTATTTACCATCGCTTTAAAGTGTTGTATAATTTATCAGAAATGGTTTAATTAAAACGAACGCAAAGTAAATCATGAAAATTTTACCGTTAGTATACATTATGCCACAGTTTCAAGAATAATTTTGAAGAGAATCTTTTATTTCTATTCTAGCATAGTAAATATTTGCTACTATTGTAGCATTAAAAACCCCCTCTCATTTTCAAATATTACGAACACAAATGTACACTTATTGCATATAACCATATCTATATATATATATAGTATAGTATATATATATATATATATACACATACACACACACACACACACACACGCATATAACATTTGTTCATTTAAACAAAATTAATTTGTGAAGAGACTTCGAATGATATTAAGTTCGGTTTCTTCCGCTTTCATTCGTGCTATTTCGTAGGAGTTTTGTATGCACGTGATACGTATGTCAAATAAATGTATATACATTTATATTTATTTTAACTCTTCATAAAATTAATATATATTTTAATCTTTACATTAAATGGATTAGATATTACAAAATTTTATGTATTATAAAATTATTAGCATATAGTAATATAATAAAAATTATTCGAAACAATAATTGGAATGAAGTCAAAATTTTTAAAAATATATATATATAAATATAACTACATATTGATTTAAAATGAAATGTAAATTAATAAGAGTTGTATAGCACGATTATGAGTTTATTTCTCTTAATCTACACATTTTTTAAATATTAATTTTATAATTTTTAATATCATATAAATAATATAAAAAAATTATAAATTGTAGCTTTGACATATATTTCTTCTAGAGTACATATATATATTCTATTTTGATAAAAATTTAATATATTAACATTATTTCGTACAAAATCATAAGGTTTAAATAAAAGTTCGTAAAACAATTTAATGTTATAATGTTATATATTTGAAATTTGTATTACACTCAATTTCGTGTTATATATTAATTTATAAAATTTTATATTTATTACTTTGTGCGTCATTTGTAATTCCTAGATAATTAAATTTATTTACAGTGAATACAGTTCTAAAAGTATTTCAAATATGAAATAAAAAGTTTGAAATAAATAGTTAAATTAACATTCAATATCATTGTACGTATTGAAGTAAAAGTAAACATCATAAAAAATTAATTTTATTCGATCTTCGTTAGACAAAACGAAAATAAATAATATTTTTCATTTATTCTTATTTTTACAATTCATTTCAGTAAATGTGTGGATAGTATTTAATGTGTATATTATGTTTATTTATATCTGTAATAGTCTCTCACCGTTTAACCATGGATTAGTCTGTTTGACTGTAACGTTGTCTTGGAAGCGTTTCATTGACGACATTTTCCAGTAAAAATTCGATAGCGCCATTGTCACTATTTAAACTTAATACCTATTTTTTCTTAAATTGCAACAAGGAACGATTTTGGATTTCAGTTACATGGGCGCCATGTCAGACGGGCGCTGGTTAGATAGTTCCGCACGTCGGTCGATAGGCAACTTAGGGCACGCGCGTCTATATATCGGGTGTTCCTCAAAACCGCAACTTGAATGTACGCAATGTATATATTTCAGGAGGCAATGCTCACTTGCAAACAATGATGTAGAATATAAATTTAATATATGAACTTTTAATAATATAAATCTTAGATAATAAATTCAGAAATATTATAATTATCTTATTTTCTATTTCCAATCATCTTATCTAATATATATTTAAATAAGAGTTATATACAAAAAGATTATTTTTGTACTCATATATAATTTAAACAAGAATGTGTTATATGTTATAAGAAAATTGGTCGATAACTACTAAATAACTTCATTTTCGTTACGATTTCAAAAAGATACCTATAAGTGTTATGTAATAATTAAATTTTAAAATAAATAGTATATGAAATATATAGTGAATTTTGAGCTCTGCTTATTGTTGATATTAACTTTTTTTATAGATCCATGTTTATATATTATGAGGTTTGCAAATAAATTGGAATTTGGAGAAAAAACTCATGAGATATCAATGACAGCGCTACGAGTAGTTCAAAGAATGAAAAGAGATAGCATTCACAGTGGACGAAGGCCATCAGGATTATGTGGCGCTGGTATTGAAAAGTTTAACTTTTTCGTAATTTAAATTTTATTTAATTTTAATATATAACCTTACGTTTTAATTAATGCATGTAAAAATTTTTTATATAATCTTTACATTAATATATATTATAAATATTTTAAAATATCTAAAAGACAAAATTGTCTCAAATAAGTTTAAAAAGGATCGCAAAATTTAGGAAAGTAAATAATAAAAGATATTAAATTAAATAAATGACTTTTCTTTAAATTAGCTCTTCTGATGGCTGCAAGATTGCACGAATTCAGTAGATCACCCGCGGATATTATAAAAATTGTAAAAGTACATGAATCGACACTACGTAAGAGGTAAGGGATATACAAATAAAGTATTTTTTGAATAAACCTGAAATTAATAATGCTAAAACTTATAGACTTATAGAATTTGGTGATACACCTTCGAGCGCATTGACACTTGAAGAATTCATGACGGTCGATTTAGAAGAAGAACAAGATCCACCAGCTTTTAAAGCAGCACGGAAAAAAGATAGAGAACGATTACAAAAAGTATACAATTTTTGTATATTCCTATATAATATTATAATGTGAATATAATTATTTTTAAATGTATATTTTTTTAGCTGGAAAATATAGATACAGAAATAAATGAATTACAAGCTGAAATTGATAAACAATTAGAAGAGCACAGACTAGGAAAAACAAGAAAACGAAAAGATGGTAATTGTAATAATCATTTAAAAATCAGGAACAATTTGTTAAGTACCTTTTTAAATAAAACTCAAATGCCTTTATTAATTCAATTATTTTATTTCTTCTAGTATAGAAAAATATTGTAAACTATTAATTTTCAGCTGCTTTTATAGAAAGAGAAGATACTGATAGATTTGTAAGGGAAAGTAATTTAGATGTAATTAAAAATTATGTTGAAAATGATATAGATGATCCTGATAGTGATATTCAAAATTCTGAACCCAATAATACAAATAATCGATTAATTACTGGGCTAGGTAAGTATTAGAATAGGTTTTTAAATAAATTTTCATTATATTATATATCATATTACAAAACATATAATACGCGTATTTATTTAAAGGTCCAAATATTGCTTCCATGGGACTAGTATCAATAAATGATCGTGAAAATGAAACGAAAGAATTAGTAAATACAAATTTTGAAAATGTATATAAAAAATACTTTTCGTAAATAATAGCCAATAATACAAATATAATTTCAATACAATAACTAATGTTATTTATTAACATTTTCTATTTTAGAATTCTGGAGAAATCGATATCGCTGACTTAGACGATGAAGAAATAGATAGTTATATTATGTCAGAAAAAGAAGCACAGTCTAAACATAATTTATGGAAAAAGGTGAATGCTGAATATTTAATTCAACAAAAAGAAAAGGAAGAAAAACGACAGAAAGAAAAAGAGGAGGGCAAGCCTGAGAAGAAACGACGGCGAACTACTAAACGTAATAAAAATCAAGTACCTGCAAATACAGCAGGTAATTATATTAATTGTAAATTCTAGACTAATAATATTTTAATTTTTTATCAGTTCAGTCAAAATTTTGTATATTTTTACTAATCTTTTTAGGAGAAGCAATTGAAAAAATGTTGCAAGAAAAAAAGATATCATCAAAAATTAATTACGAAGTACTGAAAAGTTTAAATATTAGTTTAAATACTACCACTAAAGAACAGCAAAAAGTTGAAGAACCAGTGCAATCATCAAACACAGAATTAAATAGAATGACAAGTTCTAGTAAAATGTCAGTATAGTATTTTTAAATATCACTTTTATTCTTAAAAAAAAGGTATTATATGTGTATTGATTATTTATGCTTTTAGATCTAATGTTTCTGGTTCATTGAAAATTCAAGACAAGCCAATTAGTCAAATAGTAAAAAAATCTCATTTAGTTAAACCACAGATTCAACAAACAAAAAAGGAAGAGGTACAGACACTTATTGAATTACCAATTAATATGACAGAATCCACACTTCCAAGAGAGAATGCTTGTGATTTGAGTGAGTTATTAATTTTAATTTATTTAAAATTTGATTTTATTTGATTAAGCTATCTAATATTTGTTTTTATAAAATAGATGAAACTGATGACTATGTTGATGAGGATGTTGAAGCTGATCCTACAGAAATGACTGTTGGAGAAATGCTTGGACATTGTGGATCAGAAGATGAAAATGACTTTGGATATGGTTATGATGAAGAAGACTATTAATTATTAAAAATATTTCTGTTATTATTTATTTATGGTTTTAGGATTTAGTAAAAAGACTGCATTACTACAATGTACAAATAAAGCATTTACTACTATAATCCATAATTTTATTCTTTGACTTTCTTACTAAATCTTAAAAATATAATAATGAAATAATAATAATTATAATAAAATTTGTTTAATAAAATTATAAATTTTTATTAGTTTAACCCGTAATAAAATTCCATTATAAAACAATTATAAGTAAATATATTAATTATATCCACAAATTTAGTTTTACGTAATTTACATAAATCGATAACCGATAACTCTCGTTATCACTCTAAATTTCATTTCTAATCATAAGAAATCAATTTTGTAATATTTTAATTTACTTTAATTGTTTGTCAGTATGTAATATCTGTTACCATTGTTATAAAAAAAAATTTTTATATATTAAATGGAAGTATGTTAAAAGATGAATAAATTCGTTCTATTTTCCGTACTAAAGAAATTTGAATAATCTTCTCAACGTATAATAGTAAGAACAGGTTTCTTGGTGTATTATGCGCGATATTTAAAAGCGATATATTAGCGAAATTATCTACGCCACATCTATTTACAAAACAAAATTTACCTTTTTAATATTTTTTCACCATTATATAATATTTTGAAGTTGATTGAAGTATCGAATTTCTTAGTATAACTATTTTTCATAAAACCTTTCTTTTTGCATGCAAATATTATTGTCTACAATTAAAATATGTTAACTAAATTGCTCCTTGTAAATCAAAAAAATAAAAAATCTCACTATAGATATATGATTACCAATAATTACTATTACTATTCTGCTATAAGGAATCATTTCTCCCTTTTATAATAATCTGTAATTTATTAATTTTTATACTTCTTATAATTTTGTGTTCTTAACAATCTATTATAACAAAAAATATAATAATCTATATATTTTTCTCAAGTCAAGATCATAGTGTAATATTCTGATACATTTTTTCATTTAGTATTTCATATAGTATTTCGGTTTGTCAAATAAAGAAATCTCATGATACGAAAAATTAGATTTATATTATATTTTAAACTCATTTATAATAAATGTACGATTAATTACTTGTAGCATTTCATATAAATTACAATATTAATTGTTGCAATAACCTAAATATATCTAATTAAGTATGCAAAGAAATAATTTTCAAAATTTGTGATAGATGGCGGTAATAATGCAATGTATCGAAAACTATAGTGACAGTCCAGCATTATATTATAGGCATTGCTTAATTGGATGTAACTATAATTCAAAGTGTTATGATAGAGGTATTATTGTAGATCATTTTTAATTCTTATATTAGACGGTGTAGTAAAGCTTATAAATGTAGTTCATAAAATATATGTGTGTGTGTGTACATATATATATATTTATATTATATATTCATAGATTAACTTCTCAAGTATAAATTATGCAAAAAATGAATTTCATGTAGCAATTTGACATTTGATTACTGTTTTAAATTCTTATTTATAAAATATTAAGTATTTAATAAAACTAGTACAGTGATTTTATCAATGTATTAATAATTGCTATGGTTATAATTTAAAAATGTTTTATTCATATCAAATAATAAAATATGTATATCTGAGTAAAATATCAATATAATACATGTAATAAATTTAAGTTACAATTTTTTGTCTGTTTTAGAACCATAAGATTTTGAATAGAGATTAAACATGGCAAGTACTTCTTCTGATCAAAGCACTATTGCTAAGAAGACATGGGAAATATCAAATAATATTGAAACAATTAGCACTGTTGATGAAATTTATAGGTATGATCGTAAAGAACAACAAGATATATTAGCTGCAAAACCATGGGAAAAGGAGTATGTCATTCCTGTTTATAGTATGATATTATTAAATTAAAATACTTTATTGTAATATATATTTTAATATTAAAATATATTTTTATTATTTTTTCTATTAAATATTTTTAATTATGTTTTAGCCATCATTTTTTTAAAGATATAAAAATTTCTGCATTAGCTTTATTGAAAATGGTTATGCATGCTCGTTCTGGAGGAACTTTAGAAGTAATGGGTCTTTTGCTTGGAAAAGTTGCAGCAAATACAATGATTGTTATGGATTCTTTTGCACTACCTGTTGAAGGCACAGAAACAAGAGTTAATGCACAAGCGCAGGCTTATGAGTATATGACAGCATATATAGAAGCAGCTAAACAAGTACTTTGTACTTATTATATATATATATATAACATTTAACAATTATATATAATAAAATATTTATTGTTTTATTTGTTAAGGTTGGAAGGCAGGAAAATGCTATTGGTTGGTATCACAGCCACCCTGGCTATGGATGTTGGTTATCAGGTATTGATGTATCTACTCAAATGCTCAATCAGAATTTTCAAGAACCATTTGTTGCTATTGTGATTGACCCTGTAAGAACAATATCTGCTGGTAAAGTGTGTTTGGGTGCATTTAGAACTTATCCAAAGGTAACACATATTTGTTAAAATTTATAATATGTCCAAAAGTAACAACAAATAATAAATATTTATGTGATATAAAAGGGATATAAACCAGCAAATGAAGAACCATCTGAATATCAAACAATACCATTGAATAAAATAGAAGATTTTGGTGTTCATTGCAAACAGTACTATTCTTTAGAAGTTTCTTATTTTAAATCATCATTAGATAGAAGATTACTAGATTCTTTATGGAATAAATATTGGGTGAATACTTTAAGCTCTTCCAGTCTTCTAACAAATGCAGATTACACCACTGGACAAATATTTGATTTATCAGATAAACTTGAACAATCAGAGCTTGCAGTTGGAAGAGGATTTATTCTAGGAGGAACAGACCCTCATGATCGTAGTACTGTAGAAAAATTAATAAAAGCAACAAGAGATAGTTGTAAAACAACTATTGAAATCATTCATGGATTAATGGCACAAATAATCAAAGACAGATTATTTAATCAAGTTGGATGCAATACTATTGAGTCTCAGCAACAATAAACTATATGTATGAAATATAATAACGATAATAAAGACAATGATTATAATAAAATGTAATTAATATAAGAAATATTTTTAATTAAATTTTAATATAAAAATTAATTTTTTTTTATATATAAAATATTAATAAAAATTATAAAATTTTTAAACATACAATATAAAAATCAATGAAATAAGCAGTAATACAATATTCTCAAAAAGTAGTGGAATAAAAATACATTTTATTTTCACACCTTGAGTCTCTAGAAAGTATATATACAGCATCTTTATCATTATTCAATATCCTCACAGTTGATTTAAATATATATATATATATATTTATAAAACTAATTGTGAGAACAAGTAGGCAGAATAAACCCCACTGAAGGGCTGACACTGTGTCACAGACTTTAGGACAAGGCCACTCAGAAACACACCCACCTGTTCTAGAATTATACATCGCATTCATAGCGCACAACATATAAGGGACGGAGCTAAAATGCATACAGTTATACTGATAATATACTTACTAATATGTTATGATAATTATGCTTTAAAAGAAAATTAGAAAGAAAAATAGTAAAAGAACATTTGTTAACTTAATTATTTAAAGTACTGGACTTTTTATAATACTAGAATTAATCGCGCTTAAAAATCTATCTGTTCATACAATTCTATTACAATAAAGTAAATTAAATACAATTAAGTACAAATGTACCGTAACTTCATTTACATAAAATCTTGAAAAAGGTAAATACTTGTAAGTAAGAGTGCTATTGCTACTTTTTACGCAATTTATTGTGTACTGTTTCGCATTATTTAGACGCACAATTATCATCAAATACTTGTTTCAAATAGAAGGAAATAACATGTATAAAAGATATGAATTTTTCTTTCAAAAGATTCAATTCATTCATACAATTTTCAAAGTTATTAAATTAATAATAATTGAAATTTTAGTTTGTTTAATTGTTCAGGTTCAATCTTACTCTTTTTTACATATGTAAATAAATTCTACAATAAAAAGGAATGTAAAAATACTTCTTCATATCATAAATTTTACTAATTTTTTGTTATTTCACAAAAAGTTGAAATATATGTTTCTTTAAATTACATGTTACTTAAGGAAGCTTATCAATAATAACTTATAATGTTGTTTTAGATTTTTGTGCATGATATTTAAATAAATATTTAATTAAAATTATTTTTTAACAGTACGAAGGTGTGTTACATTATAAAATTGTTACAATACTTTTATAAATCTTTAAAAGATATAACCTTAACATTTTTAATACTCGATTTTCAAATAAACTCACAAAAGAATGATATGATTTTAAAAACAATATTTTTTTTCAATTTTTAATTTTTATATGAATTTAATTCTTTTTGAGGAAGGGAAAAATTTGTTGATAATTTTAAATGATTTAGTAAATGAACGCGTATATAAAAAATAATTTGACGACCAGAATTCAGCCCTCCAATGACATTACATACTCCAAATACATTCAAAACAGTATAAACACCACCCATAATAGGTGAATATAGGGTATAGCAAACGTACACGCTACATGTATATGTATTTATGTGTAACCCTCTTCTCACCTAAAAAAATTGTTTTCAAAAGAAGTAATGTTTTTCTAATGTTTACAAATGCATCATGAACGTATATAATAAAGAAATCCACTTTACACTTCTCATAATAAGAATTTAATCAATTCTATGTCACTGCAGTTATTTAAGTATTTACAAGATAATCGCGTCCATTTATTACTTATAAATAGAGTAGAAAATATTAATTATTACAATGAAATTTACGTGCTTGTCATTGATAATAAATTGAATAACGTCATTTTTAGTAACAAACATTTTTCATCAGTAATTTTGAGTGATTTTAATAATGTATCTTTTTGTATGAATTTTTTGTTTGAATTATTCTATGTAAGAAATTATATGCTAAATCAGAAGCCATAAGATTATAAATTTAACAGATCAAATAACATTGTTGCATGTAATATTATTCTATTTGTCTATTATTCAATTAGAGAAAATATTTACACGTTTCACAATACATGCAGCATAGTACAAGAGAAATTTTACATTCCTTTCTTTTTTTCAGAATTAATAATTTCATTTCAACAATAAATTTTCTATTTTTGATCAATTTTAAAATGAATATCATCCCATCTGCTCAACAAGCATCATATTAAATCAATTATAAATATATTGACTTATTTTATAATGCAATTTATTAACAATATCTGTTTCAAAAGTGCTAAATATAGTTATTCATTGTATAAACTTTTAAGTATTTAAAAGATATTTTCTTATGCTATTGTATCCAATAAGGTAAAATCAAAATTTAAAAACAATTTTTATATAAACATATTTACAAAATTACAAGAAACTGCATATGTAAATTTGCTATAAGATATAGCTTGTGAGCAGATGAAGAACTTGTAAATACATAATGAAGAAAATAAAAATAAAATTCATTACAAATTTAAATCTTATCAAATTCGTGCCTATGTGTGATAAACTATTAGATTTATCAATCGGTAAACGTTTTTGTCAAACATGTTCTTTTACCAATATAGTTTCATTTTACCCAATGAACAGATGAAATTGGGTTTCAGTCTATTCAAGACTCGATTACTTATTTAGACAGGCATATGTACAATTGTTTTCTTTAATACATCTTGTCACTGTGATGTTAGGGGAGGAAAATTATTTACTTCCGTTTGTTCCAAAACTGGTCCTGTTGGTCCAGCATAAGATATACGCAATCTCATTCTCAGAGGTACCTATATTTAAAAAATATGAATATGATCAATTATAAAATAAAATATGCCTTTAAAGACTTTATACATAAAATATTTAGATAAAAACTTACTTTGTTGATATTTGTAACTTTCAATACTTGAGTAACTTGTCCAGAAGGAGGAATGACTGTACTTGATGGTGACAACATTTGTAATTGGAATGTCTGAATAATAAAATATAAAAAATAGCTTATAATTCTTTATATTTAATGGGAACAATATAAATAATGACTGTTACCTTAGGAACTGCTGCTTGAAACAGAAAATCAGTAAGTATAGCATTTCCAGAATTCTGTGCTGACATATTGATAATTAGTAAATCAGCAATATCTGGTGGTCTTTCTAATCTAAAAGTTATTTTAAGTCCTGCTTTGTCCAATACAATCATATTAAGTGTATCTAAAATTACAAATAAAACACAATCTATTTTCTGCTATCGATAATAAAAAATAAACATTTTATTAAATTTTACAAACCATTTTGAAGTGATGACGAATTTAGTAAACCATCCACTAAAAAGTTGGTTGTGTTAGTAGGATTAAATATTTGTGATGGTGTTTGTGCTTGTGATAATGTAGATGTAGATGTAGGTGCATTTAAATCCAAACTGCCAAGTAGATCTAAGAGATCATTGTTATTTACTATAGTCGTTGAATTAGCAGCTAGGTTTTTATTTGATACTGAAGGTGTTATTCCTAGATCGGTAGTTCCAAGCAAATCTAGAAGGGCACTCTACAAAAATGTAAAAAAACATATTGAAAAATTTAATATTGATGTTATAATACATGATCAAAATTTAATAACTACCTTGTTAATTACACTTAAAGAGAATAAACTGTATACAAGTTATTTTGTTGATACTATAAACTATTCTTATTCAATTTTTAACTAAACATAAGCTTACTGAATCAGATGGTGGAGTATTTGTTTCTAAAACTGAAGATTTCTCTTCTTCAGATTCTGGTTCACCATTTACCATTCCTATAATTCCATTAGCTTGTGGTCTTGCAGTTTCCATAGGAGGCATTCTTTCAAGCAACGCAGGTCGTAAATGGTCGTATTTTCTAAACAATTGTGAAAACTCTATGCCTCGCTGTTGCAACTCTATATGTAAATTGCTTCCGAACGTATCAATTATTTGACGAATTTTTCTAAAATATAAAAAATATTTATGAGTAACTATCATAAAAAAATAAATGTTAAAATAATATGATAAATAATAGCAATAATTAAGTTTTTAACAACACTTACTCATTACCCTTCTGAAATCTTGTGCTAAGTTTCGTAAGAGATAGTAAAGTATATTGTTTCGTGACAACTGTGTTTTGTGGATTCCATAATAACCTTTGATAGACATCAATAACTTCATCTTCTGTTAACTAATAATGATAGAAAAATATAATTATTAATAAGCATGAAATTAAAATTAATTATAAGTTACATATTTCCATTTTAATAATAATAAAACATGTTTATAACATTTAACAAATAAACATACGTTGACAGGAGTATCAATATCTTCTGATGGTGGCCCATACAATAACAAATCACCATATTCACCAATACACCACGTTGCTACTTGAGCCAAAGGTTGCTTGTCAGATGTATCTTTTTCTAATGCTTTCCATAATGCACTTACAGCATAACTTTGCTGCGATTGTGTTTCTGAAATTAATTGAATGGTGCATGCTACTACATCATCTCGAACATAATTACCAGCCTGGAAAACAAGAAAATTATATAAAAAATTAAAAGTGTAATTAAATAAAGGAATATAACTGATAAAATTAATTTCATACAGCAACAAGAACTTTAAACAATGTTTCAAGATGCCAACGTTTATTTGGTGCAAATCTTTCTGCAGACATTACTATGTTACTACTACATTGAGCTTTAAACTCTGGATCAGCACGTTCTAAAAAAAGTAATAACTCTTTCATCATGTTTCTAATATTGTTTGAATTTACAAGTGCAAAACTAAGCTCCATTGCTCGTCTTCTAATTGACACATCAGGATCTTTTAAACATTCCTATAAAAAAAAGACATTAAAAAAATATTTAGATGTTATAAGGATACAAATAAGATATAAAACAATATAGTAATGTTACCAAAATTGTCGAGCGATGTCTTTGTACTGCACTTGTGTCAACGTAAACTGTTTTTAATAATGTATTCAAAGCAACATATCGAATGTTCTTATC